CCCCAAAACCCCAAAACCCCAAAACCCCAAAACCCCTTTTGGAGGAAGAAATATTGATAAATTAGCTTTACATTTTCTGCACTGTGCCATCAGGAAGTTCAATGGTCTTTACCCCATTTCTATCGATTTTTTGGATGGTGCCATCGGGGAATACACTTTCTTCCTCCCCATCAGGGAAGATACACTTTACTGTTCCATCTGTGAATCAGATCTAGAGATTATGCAAGGAGGTACCTCTTTAGTCTGATCTGGGTAATGTTTCTCTATTTGACCGTTACCAAACCTAAACACTTTCAATTCATTCGGGAAGGTAGTTTGGGTAGTATTTGCCTCAGAGAAGTAATAAACACTCTTTTTATCAGGATATGTCTGCTTTATATCTTTATTATTAAAGAAGACAATTTGATATCCATCAGGGAAGATCTGCTTCTTCACTCCATTGTTGAATATCAGCTCTCTTTTACCATTTGAGAATATTCTTTCTATTTTACCATTTTTCTTAACAGATTCATCTACTAGAGGAGAATTGTCTTTGTGATAGATATCTGGGAAAACCATTTGGTATGACTCTTCATCTGAATCATTTGAGTTATTATCTTCCTCGTTATCACTAGCATCTGAGTAATTTCCAGCTTTGTCATCTTCATCAGGACTATCATGTTCATTTTGGTGGGACACTACTCTGGCACGGGTGTTAGAAGACTCGTACTGCTCATAAGTATCTTCAGTCTTCTTTTGTGGCCTATTTGAAGTATCTTCAATATGATTTTGTCTTCTATTTGTTGTACTTTCCCTCTGTTTCCTCATAGCTGTAATTCTTGTTTTCTCAAGTTGACGGATTTCTGACTGGATTGATTCGTTTTCTTGAGTATAGAAATCTAGCTCATCTTGGAGTTGAACTGTCATAGTATGATTCTTCTTATCTTTGGCTCTGGTTTCTGATTTAACCGCTTCAATTTTAGCCTTTAGCTCATCAATTTCTTGCTTTCCTTTCTTATTATCCTGAGTGGATTTATTTTCTTTTTTAAATCGTTCGAAATCTTTTCTCTCTTTTCTGATTTTCTTGAGTTCAGCATTTTCATAGTCTTTTAACTCCATGATATCCTGCTGGGATTGGAACTCGAGGTTATCAATCTCATTCTTGATCTCTTGAATTTTGGTCTGGAAGGCCATTTCTCCATGATCTTTAGTAAGCTCAAGATGGTTATTATGCCTCTTTGTGAACTCAGCGATTTCAATATCCATATCACGCAGCTTGGATTCTATCTGCTCTCTAGCTTTTGGAGGCAGGTATTCTGTAAGATGTTCTGGGATTTCTGTATAATTGATCTCTAAATCATCTATACTATTGAAAGAAGGATTACCTTTGTCCACATTTTGCTTGAAATTTATTAAGGGTTTAGGATCTTTCATCATTTGAGTACTGCCATAGCCATCATTTTGTGAATCATTTCTGCCATGGTCTGAGCCAGATGCTTCATCTTGGTCTTCGGCATCCTCTCCGTGGGAGTCTGAATTATCACTGCTTTCATTATCATCACTGTCTTCGAACAGCTTTCTTTTACCTCTTTTGGACTTGGATTTAGGGTTAGCTTGGGAAGAGTCTCTTTTATGATGAGGTTTCTCTGATTTAGCCTCTCTAGGACTGTCTTTCTTGCTACCAATTCCACCTCCAGTGCCACCACCTCTAGTTAGGAAGGTTTTCTTAGACTTATTTTTCTTTTCAGTCGGTTTTTCCAATTGATCATTGACTGCTTTTCTTTCAGCAACATTTCCGAATGGGGTCTTTTTAGATTTCTTTTCTACAGGCTTTGGCGCACTCTCAACTGGGGCAGCAAATGGATCGTCTGTGAAATTTTCAGCATAATATTTATACTTTGCTGGCTTGTTGTTCTTGGGAGGAGCTGTCACTGGCTTCTTTCTCTTTAAAAATTGCTTCTTAGGTTTAGACTTAGGCTGAACTGGAGGCCCAGAATGCATATCTCCGCCTGCATTTTTCTGAAGTTCTTTTTCTAGCAATTCATCAAAATTATTAGCCTTTATAGGTAAATCATCAATAGGATTAGAAGATCCTCCTCAAATCGGGACTTCATCATGAGGATTTACTGGGGGTTCATCTTTCAATTTATTCTTCACTGCGGGTAATACAACTTCGTCATGGCTTTCAATATTTTGCTTGCTGTCTTCGTGAAAGCTCGGATGGCTCTGAACTTTTTCAGTGTAATTACTTTTAATTGGAATATCATCAAACTCATTCCTAGCAAGGGGCTTCGGCTGGGTTGGCTGACTTGGTTCATTCATATTAAATTCTAATACTTCATTTTTCTTAGGTGGCTTTGAAATACTCTCATTTAAGGGCTGCTTCTTGTTCGAACCATGAATATAATCCTCAGCTTCTTCTTGTGTAGCTTTTTCAATAGCATTTATAGAATTATTCTGAAGGTTCTGAGAAGGCTCAGGCTCATTATATCCTGAAAACTGGTTTTGAGGAATTTTACTATTGGTCTGGTTTATGTCTTGAGGATAATTCATTGGTTGATTCATCATTTCAGGCATATTCATTTGCCCTGATAACATTTGAGGATTGATTTGCTGCAACATTTGTGGATTAGTTTGTTGATTCATCATTGGAAATCCCCCAAAATTTTGCATCATTGGTTGAGGAAGCGGTTGAGAAGGTTTTTGACTAGTTGATATTTCAGAAGATTGGTTAAATCCTTGCATTTTCTGATACCAATTATTTGGCACTGAAAAATCTTGAACTGTCTCTCTTGTATCTGCATCATTCATCATCCCATTAACCTCACTATCCTCATTCATCATTCCCTCATGAGTCTTCCCCATGAACTCATTAAACTAATTTAAGTTCAGCATTAGAGTTTGCCTGAGGCATATACGGTGCTGGATCAGGATTTTGAGAATGCCTCGAGGAGTTTTGGTGTGAGGAGTTTGGATTAGGCTGGGCTTGAGGTGGGAATGAAGACATTTGGAAGGGGACTTGGGGCTGGGAGAGAGGCTGGGTCTGGTCTAGGTTAAGGCCCATTTGTTTAGCCATGTTCAGAACGTTGATGGCTTGGAGGATTATGTTGTTGTCTAGCTGTACCCCGGGTTGAGTCATTCCTATGGGTTAGAATGGTATATACCGATTTGGGATAAGTCTGTATTCATATTTTGACTCTGAGGGCCTCCAAATGGAGTATATTGATTGGTATTTAAAGGCTGATTATTCTGGAAACTTTGGGGTATAGCTTGGTGTCCACTCATACTTTGAGAGACAGACTGATTTTCTCCAAAATTTTGTGGCATTGTTTGGCTGTTTCCCAAATGTTGAGAAAAATCTAGGTTCTTTTAAAATCAAAGCAAAACTTTTCTTTTTATTACAAAACATATAAGCCTCGAAGAGGTTCGAGAAAATGTATTATATTGGTTAGGAAACAAAGATATATTTCTCTAAACTAATATTTAAACAAGCATACTGTAAAGCTTTATTCTTCTACATAAATAAAAATATTCTTTAAAACCTACTTTGAGAAGGAAAATCAAACCTAGATGAAGTCTGGGCTCCATGCATTTCTTCATGAATTGAACTAGTTGAAATTCCCTCCATATTTGGTGCTTGAGTATTATGCCTCTTTTTGAGATTTTTAAGAAACTCTGATTGTCATTCCATCTCAGGTACATTTGAAGATGCCCGTGCCTTATAATCCCTGATATAACTGATCTCAGAAGCTTACTCGTTTGGAGATCCTTGCATACTGTTATTATCCATTTTAAAAAATTTGAATATTATTTATTTCAAACTAGGAATTATTATATGGGGTTTTGGGGTTTTGGGGTTTTGGGGTTTTGGGGTTTTGGGG